AGTGGTCTGTAAATGAGAAACTAGAAATAGCATCTACATTGATCTGTTATTATAAGGGTTAAATGAATTGTATTTGTCAAGCGCTTAGAACATGCCTGAAACGTAAGCACATCTAGGTTTTGTGATGGGGTCCTGCTCTATTGCTAGAGTTTGTTAAATAAACAAATACTGAGACCTTGGGCAAGTTCCTTATCCTCTCTGGATGAGGAATCCTATCCAATTGGATACTATCCAGTCTTCTCATCTGCAAAGCAGACTAGTTGTCTACCTGAGATATTAAATTTCAAGGGTCAAGTGCAGTGCTTAGGCCATGATAGATTGAGGGGGAAGGCAGGGAGGGATGGAAGAGTCAGAGAGGCTAGAGGGAAGTGATTGTGAGTTGGATGTGGCTGTGTGTGTTTAAGAGAGGGGATATTCTCTCTCTGTGGCCTGGAAAGTAGTGTTAGAACTTTCACCCCATCCCCATTTTCCTCACAGAATGGATACATCAATTTTGACAAGCGGAGGAAGGTGAGTGGAGTGCCTGGGCTGGATGCTGGACTTCTCAATCCATGTTCCCGGAAGGGGAGGGGGGAAAGTCAGGTGTCCCTGAGTTTTGGCTCCTGCAGTTTGAGGGCTCCTTCCCAGGAGTTTGCAGTCCTTTCTGAGTTGCGACGGCTCCAGAATGAATGTCGTGGCTATAACCTCCAACCTGACCATGATATCCAGAGGTGGCTACAGGGGCTCCGGCCACTGACAGAGGCTCAGAGGTGACTGGCGGGTGAGGTTGGGACTCTAGGGCTCTGGCCAGGTGTGGGGGATTGGTGTCATGTCCTGAGCTCTGTCTTTTGCCCCCTAACCCAGCCATCGTGTATCCTGTGAGGTGGAGCCACCTGGTTCCAGTGACCCTCCTGCCCCACGGGTGCTTCGGCCAACATTGGTCATCTCGCAGTGGACAGAGTGAGAGATTCACTGGCTGGGGGATGGTTACTTGGAACTTCCACTTTTCTTCTGATCCTCCCAATCTCCTGCCACTGTAGGGTTCTGGGCTCTGTTGGGGTCCCTACCCCGCTTGTGTCCTGCGAGCGGCCCAGTATGGCGGGAGATGAGGTGCCTACAACTCCTGCTCCTCTGCTGACTCGGCTGGCCCAGGTGAGCTCTGCTCCTGACTCTGACCTTGATGCTGACCCTCACTCTGTAAATGTTTCTTCCTTAATCTCCCTGCCTTCATGCCAGTCCCATGTTGTTTATTCCTAGCACATGAAGTGGCCATCTGTCTCGTCACTAGACTCTGCCCTGGAAAGCAGTCCATCCCTGCACAGTCCAGCTGACCCCAGCCATCTCTCCCCACCAGCCTCCTCCCCTAGGCCTTCTCGAGGTCACCGCCGCTCAGCCTCCTGTGGCTCCCCGCTGAGTGGGGGTGCAGAAGGGGCCTCCGGGGGGACTGGATATGGGGGAGGGGGATCTGGGCCAGGGGCCTCTGATTGCCGAATCATCCGAGTCCAGATGGAGCTGGGGGAAGATGGCAGTGTCTATAAGAGCATTTTGGTGAGGGAGCCTTGGGATGGAGTTGGGGTGAAGGATGGTGTCTTGTTGGACTATAAATGTCTGAGGTTTGGGCAACCAAATGGAATTGAATGTAGTTTTAATTTTGACTTTTGGTTTTGGCAGTTGTTTTATTTATTTTTAATTTTATCTTGTAAACTCTGGTCTTCAATACAAGCTAAAATTTGTTTTATTTTGATGGCTATTTTGCATTAGTTGCTACACCTTAAACTTTTGGTGGCCATATTAAAATTTCAGAATCAACAGCAGTTTCCCCAAAGGCAAGCAGCTCTGTTTCACTGGGCACCATGTGGGCTGGCTTATGGGGTATAGGAAGCCACCGTATAGGGTTTCCCTGTTCCTTTTAAAGCCTTGGACACAAGTAACCTTTTGTGGTTGGGTTCAGTGGCTAAGGGTAGAAGGATGGGAATTCATGGCTGATTGATTGCTCTTTTGGTCTCCTGTCCTGCCAGGTGACAAGCCAGGACAAGGCTCCAAGTGTCATCAGTCGTGTCCTTAAGAAAAACAATCGTGACTCTGCAGTGGTTTCAGAGTATGAGCTGGTACAGCTGCTGCCAGGGGAGCGAGGTCAGAGGCCACGAGGGAAAGGCAGACTCGGGAGGAGAGTGGAGTGCTTCCACATCTGGGCGGCTGTGGGGGGAATGACTGTGCTTGTGCTTGACATCCATCCCCTGAACCTTCAGAGCTGACTATCCCAGCCTCGGCTAACGTATTCTACGCCATGGATGGAGCTTCACACGATTTCCTCCTGCGGCAGCGGCGAAGGTCCTCTGCTGCTACACCTGGCGTCACCAGTGGCCCGTCTGCCTCAGGAACTCCTCCGAGTGAGGGAGGAGGGGGCTCCTTTCCCAGGATCAAGGCCACAGGGAGGAAGATTGCACGGGCACTGTTCTGAGGAGGAAGCCCCGTTGGCTTACAGAAGTCATGGTGTTCATACCAGATGTGGGTAGCCATCCTGAATGGTGGCAGTTATATCACATTGAGACAGAAATTCAGAAAGGTAGCCAGCCATCCTGGGGCAGTGAAGTACCACTGGTTTACCAGACAGCTGAGAAATCCAGCCCTGTGGGAACTGGTGTCTTATAACCAAGTTGGATACCTGTGTGTAGCTTCCCACCTGTGTGTGCTTCCTACCTGTGCAGCACACAGGTAGTGCTGGAAAAAACGCATCAGTTTCTGATTCTTGGCCATATCCTAATATGCAAAGGGCTAAGCAAAGGCCTCAAGGCTCTGAGCCCCAGGGCAGAGGGAATGGCAAAAAATAGGTCCTCGCAGGAGTTCTTCTTCCCACTCTGGGGGTTTCTATCACTGTGACAACACTAAGATAATAAACCAAAACACTACCTGAATTCTACTCCCCTGTCCTTGTAGTGCGTATGAACTGGCTGCTATGAGTGGGGGTGGGGAATTGGCTGAAGGTAGATGCCATGGAACAGGAAGGGGCACAATGTTTTCTATCCCCATGAACAGAGCAAAAAGTGAGTGAGGTATTGGTGAAAAAAGTTTCCTCAGAACAATTTTTCTTCAGTAACCTCTCTACCACTGGTCCCTTGCTGCAAATGTGTATAAAACAATTTTAGGACAAGGAAATGGCAGAACAACTTTATGGACAACATATAAACTTGGGAGGACTTATATACTACAAAGCATTACGTGCTGGGATTTTAAGTCAGTTTAAGCTACATTCAAGCAAATTCTAGGAAGACAGAGGCTGAAAAGTACCAATAGAGATGCCAGGGCCGCTGGCAAAGAGGGTAACCACATTTCATCCTGGGGCCTCAGGTTAGAGAACTGTGAATTCTTTTTCAATTGAACTGACATTCCTAGTAATACGCTATGTTGTAAATGCCCTTCCAAAATAATCATGCCAACCAAGATGAGGGAAAGTTAAGGGTTGTATATACAGGCAAGAAGTAGGTTTGAGGACATTTAGGATTTCACTTTCAAGAAAGAAAGAACATCGTGCCACAAAGAAGTTCCAAGTGCAAGAGTTTGAACCTGAGGGGGTAATACAGGTGGTGTGTGTGAAGGTGGAAGGGACTGTGGGGATATGACAGAAGCGCCTGGTCAGGAAACGGAGCCAGGTGTTTTTACATTTTATTAGCTACAGTATAGATGCTAGAGCTGCCTCATTCCCTCCCCTCCCCTCCCCCCACCAAGGGGTCAGGCCTTGCCAGGAGCCCCTGCCTTTGCCGCCTGGGCCCGCTGGAACTCCTGCTGCAGCTGAGCAAGGGTCTCCCTCTGTTGCTCTGACTGCCGCTCAAGATCCCGGAGCTGGGATTCATATCGCTTACTAAAGAGAGACAAGGGAGACAAGTAGAAAGGGAGAAATTAGTAGGACTTACTAAGGAGGGTGCTAAACGCAAGAAAGAGATAGGTGGAAAACTTGAGATTAGGGAAGGGAGAAGGGGGGTTAAAAGGGAAGGAAGGGGTTGGAGGAACTGGAGGACTAGGGGCCACTATGGAGAGCTGTTCTGCAATGGTTCAACACCTCTACTCCAATGGTTCACTGCATCACAGGGTGCAGCACACAGTGGTGGAATAAAGACTCACATTTCAGCTGTGATATAGTCCAGCCTCTTCCCTACTGTGGCCCGAGCCTCCCCCAGCTCCTGTTTGACTAGCACCGGACCCAGAAGTTTAAAGACCACGTTGGACCCATCCAGCAGGGCCAGTTCCTGATGGAGGGATGGGACATACGTGATCAGAACCATGGCTAGTACAGGTCCCTCCTCGCCCCACAAATCCCAGTCCCTCACCTCTTTCACGATATTATTTTCTGTTAGTTGTGCTTCAAGTTTCTGCCTCCCCGACATGGATTTACTCAAGTCTGGGGATAAGAGGAAAGGCAAGATTAGAAACATCAATCCTAGTCAGGTGGATATGGATCTGAGGAAGCAGAAAAAGATGGGGGCAGCGGGTCAGTGAATAGGGAAGAGTACTGAAGCGGGAAAGTCTCTGCACGCAAGGGCCCAGATGGGGCAACAAACCTTATCTCGGTAATGGCTTTGGGTTGTGAGTGCATTGGGCGAGGCCATACCGACCCTGCTCCCTTACCCTTCTGTAGCTGTTGATATTTCTCCACTTCTCCCTGCAGCTTCTTCTGGATCAGCTCCGCCATGGCGGGGATGAAAGCCTACGGGGAGCGAGACAAGGGCGCTGCGTCTCACTCTCTGGAAGGTACCTGAGCTCCCTTTTCTGATCTCGCCTGCGGAAATGATAGCACTCTTGAGAGGCAGCCCTGAGGGGCACCGCCACCTCCCCCCCGTCCTGGGTATCGACTCCACCCCGTCCCCAGGATATGGTGGGCGAAACGCAAGACCGTAAGCCTCTCAACCGAAATCCTAACCTATTCACGTTCTGCTTTCAGTAGTAATAAACCCGGAAGTAAACGAGGAATGCCGGGAAAAGACTGCGCCGGAAGTTTCTTTCTGACCCTTGATGGGAAGTGTAGTTCTGACATGTTTAGCGAATGGAGTTCTGCTACAAAGACTGGACTCGGATATTTTTAGGCAAGATGGGGAAACTAACCCGGAAAAGGAAACCGCACCGCTACTTAGCCCCTGGTCCCGGGCCTGCCTTTCTTTTGTAAGTCACTCTTGCATAAGCTGCCGCTCCCGATAAGGTGCCAAGAGCTCTTCCGCCCCTCTAAGGAGAGCGTGCCCTCACTCAAGATGGCGCCTAGAGAGCTTCAGACCTGGTACGCTACTGATTGGATGAAGGATAGAGGGCTTCCGGGAGTTTTCAAGCCGACTGTGGGGCAGCTGAGAGGAGTTTTGCACGTGGATCGCCGTTCGGATGGGCGAGATGGAGACAGCCCCCAAGCCGGGCAGGGATGTCCCGCCCAAGAAAGACAAACTTCAGACCAAGAGAAAGGTATCGGCCTCCCTGGGTGGGAAAGGAAGTTTTTTGCTGCGGGGTCCGGGGGGCGGGGCGTGGGTGCGGAGTATCAGAGTTCCTGATCTGCTTGTAGAAACCGCGGCGATACTGGGAGGAAGAGACTGTTCCGACCACAGACGGAGCCTCTCCAGGGCCTCCTTGTAACAAGAAGAATCGGGAGCTCCGTCCTCAGAGACCAAAAAATGCTCACATATTAAAGAAGTCTCGGATCTCTAAGCAGCCTCAGGTCCCGAAGAAACCCCGAGAGTGGAAGAACCCGGAGTCCCAGCGGAGCTTGTCCGGGGTGAACGTGGAACCTAATGGGTGGCGAGGCAGGCCGCCTTGTGCTTTGAAAGGGTTGGGGTCAACCCAAGGCTGTCTACTAACTGCGTTCTCCTTTCCCTTAGGCCCAAGATCCATTCCCAGGCCCCGCCCCCGTCCCTGTGGAGGTGGTCCAGAAGTTCTGTCGTATTGACAAATCCCGAAAGGTGAGGTCCAGCCAGAGAGTTGGGAAGTGTTGGAGGCAGGGAGTGTCTGGGTGAGTTGAATGGAGGCTGGGCTAGGTAGCTCTCCTGTGACCCCACTTATCCTATGGTTCTTCTGCCACTCCTCCCCACCAACAATGTTGTAGCTACCACGTTCTAAAGCCAAAACTCGAAGCCGACTTGAGGTGGCTGAAGCTGAGGAAGAGGAAACAAGTATCAAAGCTGCTCGTTCTGAGCTGCTGCTTGCTGAGGAACCGGGGTGAGTGGGCCCTAATCTGGACCCCCAATCCTTGCCTTATAGGACTGTCTTTTCTCGTTTTTATGTTGGTACACTTGCTTCATATTGGGAAACTTGACTGCTATCCTAACCCTTGCTTTCAGGTTTCTGGAAGGGGAGGATGGGGAAGACACAGCAAAGATATGCCAGGCTGACATTGTGGAGGCTGTGGACATTGCAAGTGCAGCCAAGGTGAGCCTGAGGAGGTAAAGGAGCCAAGGGATTGATTGGTGGTGCAGGACAAGAGAGGAATGGGGGCTAGAAGAAGGCGTTCCTGCAGGGTACTCATTTTTTTTTTTTCACTCTTCTCTTTCCCAGCACTTTGACTTGAATCTGAGGCAATTTGGGCCCTACAGACTAAACTACTCTCGAACTGGAAGGTAAGGTTGAATTCTAGTGACTCTTGAACTAAGATGTGTTTCCTTAACCACTTTAGCCATGCCCACTTCAGCCATTCGCAGTATTTGTTTGGGTTGTTGATGAGGGGAGGGTCCTTTGATTTGCTTGTGTGTGCGGGTGAGCACCTGCAGCAACATGTGTCTGCCCACCTGGAGAGATGGGGCTGGCATGGGGCAGACCTCAAGTCATCTGAGTCGGTGGTCCCCTGCCTTAACACCCTGCCTGCCCCTCACCTCCAACAGACACCTGGCTTTTGGAGGGCGCCGAGGTCATGTGGCTGCCCTTGATTGGGTAACAAAGAAGCTTATGTGCGAGATCAACGTCATGGAGGCAGTGCGGGACATCCGGTCAGTGGCCTCATTGTCAGCGGTCAGTAGGGGTGAGATAGTCCATCCTTGATTGAATGATAGCCTGTGACCTCATTTCCCAATTGAACCACTCTTCCTCTCCCCCAGGTTTCTCCATTCTGAGGCACTGCTTGCTGTTGCCCAGAACCGCTGGCTCCACATCTATGACAATCAGGGCATTGAGCTCCACTGTATCCGCCGGTGTGACCGAGTGACACGGCTTGAGTTCCTGCCCTTCCACTTCCTCCTGGCTACAGCTGTGAGTGGCCGTGGAGCTCAGGAACTGGGTGGCAGCCCTTGGGATGACCACTTCTCCTTTAGGACCCCAGGAGAGGGAATACAGAGGGCAATCAGGACTGGGTCATTCTCTCTGTCTCTCTCTTTCTCAGTCAGAAACAGGGTTTCTGACCTACCTGGATGTATCAGTGGGGAAGATCGTGGCAGCTCTGAATGCTCGAGCTGGGCGGCTCGATGTCATGAGTCAGAACCCTTACAATGCTGTCATCCATCTCGGACACAGCAATGGTCAGTACCTAGCTTAGTTTTGACTCTCCGACCATCCTGACTTGCATTTCTTCTATATTTATACTTCATGAGTCTCTTAAAGTTACCCTTTTATTTCCCTTTTTTGTTATCTCTTGGTCTTGAGTTCCCATCTTTCCCAGGTTTAATAACCTTAGGGTCAGGTTTGTATTAGCAACTTTGGTTCTTCTTCTCTTCCAGGTACTGTGTCTTTATGGAGTCCAGCTATGAAGGAGCCACTGGCAAAGATTCTCTGTCATCGTGGTGGGGTCCGGGCTGTGGCAGTAGATTCTACAGGCACGTAAGTTACTGGTGGGATGAGGCGTTAGGTGGGCAGAAAGTTGTGGAAGGTAGTGTGCTTTAGGAGCACAGACTCTAAAGCCAGGATGCCCAGGTTTAAATCACAATGTTACCACTGATGGGCCTTGTAAGTATGGGCATATGGCATAACCTTTGTGTGCCACCGTTTTCTCACCCCAGAAATGGAAATATGAGTGTCTAGTTCAAGGGTCCACAAACTTTTTCTGTAAAGAGTCAGATAGTAAATATTTGATGATTTGCTGATAAGAAGTGAAATCAAAGGGTACTGTGTAGCTATTTAAATACCAAGAGAAAACAAATTATCACAATTTTTTTTTTTTGAGATGGAGTCTCGCTCTGACGCCCAGGCTGGAGTGCAATGGCGCAATGTCAGCTCACTGCAACCTCCGCCTCTTAGGTTCAAGTGATTCTCCTGCCTTGGCCTCCCAAAGAGCTGGGACTACAGGCACCCAGCACAACACCTGGCTAATTTTTGTATTTTTAATAGAGACAGGGTTTCACCATGTTGGTCAGGCTGGTCTCGAATTCCTGACCTCAAGTGATCTGCCCGCCTCAGCCTCCCAAAGTGCTGGGATTACAGGCGTGAGCCACTGTGCCTGACCTTTTTTTCTTTTTTAATCTTTTGAGAGAGATGTAGTCTTGCTCTGTCTCCCAGGCTGGAGTGCAGTGGCGTGATCTCAGCTCACTGCAACCTCTGCCTCCCGGGTTCAAGTGACTCTTCTGCCTCAGTCTCCCAAGTAGTTGGGATTACAGGCACCTGCCGTTATGACCAGCTAATTTTTGCATTTTTTTGTAAAGACGGGGTTTTGCCATGTTGGCCAGGCTGGTCTTGAACTCCTGACTTCAGGTGATCTGCCCGCCTCGGCTTCCCAAAGTGCTGGGATTACAGCTGTGAGCCACTGCACCCGGCCCACACATTTTTAAGTTGTAAAATTAAACATAATATGGCCAGGTGCAATGGCTCACACCTGTAATCCCAGCACTTTGGAGGCTGAGGCGGGTGGATCACCTGAGGTCAGGAGTTCGAGACTAGCCTGGCCAACATGGCAAAACCCTGTCTCTACTAAAAATCCACAAAATTAGCCGGGTGTTGTGACAGGGGCCTGTAATCCCTGCAACTTGGGAGGCTGAGGCAGAAGAATCGCTTGAACCTGGGAGGCAGAGGTTGCAGTGAGCCGAGATTGTGCCATTGCACTCCAACCTGGGCAACAAGAGCAAAACTCTGTCTCAAAAAAAAAAAAAAAAAAAGTTAAACATAATATGAGGCTGGACACAGTAGCTCATGCCTGTAATCTTAACACCTTGGTAGGCTGAGGTGGGCAGATCGCTTGAGCCCAGAAGTTCGAAACCAGCCTGGGTGACATGGCAAAACTCTGTCTCTACAAAGATAGAAAAATTAGCCAGGTGTGGTGGTGCATGCCTGTAGTCCCAGCTACTCAGGAGGCTCAGGTGGGAGGATCACCTCAGCACAGGAGGTTAAGGCTGCAGTGAGCTGTGATCATCCCACTGTACTCTTCCATCGGCAACAGAGGGAGACCCTGTCTTAAAAAATAATAATAAATATGATATTTGTGTAATACAGATCTACTAATGGGAAGAACTGAATTTCTCTTTTTGAGGATAACATTTTGCCTAGTTCATGTACAAAGTTAGTGTTCCAAATGATCAAACTTGACTGTAGATACTCATGTTCATGCTGATCTGTAGAGATTTCATGTATTTCATCTTTGAAAATATCTTTTCACACAGTTAGGTAATGATAGGTGATATGTGAGGTGCTCAAAATGCTGTGAAGCACTTATGATTGTGTCACTGTGACTTGTAGCGTACAAAGCAGGAGTGCAAATCAGGATGCCGTATTCTCTGTCATGACCACTCGGCTGTGTGTTGTAGAGCAAAAGCAGCCACGGTGTAAATAAATACTGAGTGGTCATGTTCCAATAAAACTTTATTTGTGGATATTGGAATTTGAATTTCATACAGTTTTCACAGTCTCAAAATATTATTTTGATTTTTTTTTAACCACTTAAAAATGTAAAAACCATTCTTGGCTTGTGGGCTATAAAGAACTAGATGATGGGCCAGGTTTGGCCCATGGGCAGTAGTTTACCAAGCCCTAGTTTAAAGCCCTTATAAAAGCTGTTGTAGACATTAAGATGAGTTAAGGCATATAGTTTAGCACAGTGCTTAGCAAATAGGGAGTGCTGTATTCATCATTGTCATTCAAGATGATCGTTCTCTCCAGGTCTGGCTGATGTGAGGGTAGAGGTGGTGTCTGCTTTGGATTTCTGCTGTTCCTGAGAGAGTATCTGCATTTTCCACAGCTGTTCTCTCTGATTTGTATTGTCCTCTGATTCCTTTTGTCAGGTATTCACTGGGCATCTGCTGTGGGCGGGGCTCTGTGCTGAAGTTCTGGAGATAAAAGGATGAATCATTGAGCCTGCCTTGGTGTGGTGCTCCAGTTACCCTTTGGGTATAAAAACTTGTGGCTATGGGTTTTTTTTTTTTTTGAGACAGAGTCTCACTCTGTCACCCAGGCTGGAGTGCAGTGGCACAATCTCACTGCAACCTCTGTCCCCGGGGGTTCAAGCGATTGTCCTGCCTCAGCCTCCTGAGTAGCTGGGATTATATGCACCCGCCACCACGCTCGGTAAATTTTTAAATTTTTAGTAGAGACAGGTTTCACCCTCTTGGCCAGGCTGGTCTTGAACTCCTGACATTGTGATCCACCTGCTTCAGCCTCCCAAAGTGCTGGGATTACAGGCATAAGCCACACTGTACCCGGCCATGGCTATGGTTTTTGAGAATGACTGGCCAGGTGATGCATTTATTTATTTATTATTATTTTTCGAGATGGAGTCTTGATCTGTCACCCAGGCTGGAGTGCAGGGGCACGATCTCGGTTCACTGCAACCTTCACCTCCTAGGCTCAAGTGATTCTTCTGCCTCAGCCTCCGAGTAGCTAGGACTACAGGTGCGTGCCACTGTGCGCAGCTAATTTTTGTATTTTTAATAGAGATGGAATTTCACTATGTTGGCCAGGCTGGTCTCGAACTCCTAACCTTGTGATCCGCCCATCTGGTCTCCCAAAGTGCTGGGATTATAGGCCTGAGCCACTGGTCCTGGCCTCTGTAATTGTATCTTTGTGAACAAGTGATTTGGTTCTGCCCTTTTTACTCCATATCTATACCAGCCTGGCTCTAGGAGAGTCGGAAGGCCTGCCCAAGGGTTTCTGCCCTCTCTGGGCCACTGGGCCAAAGCTGTAGCTTGCCCTCCATGGGCTACCTGGGTCAGCCACTCCTCTGCTTAGCGCTTAATCACTAGTTAGCTGAGGCCTGAAGTTTAATCAACACCTTGATGCTGAACAGCTCTGGTCCTTGTGATCTTCAGCCCATCCCTGCTTTTCTCTGGTCCTTCTCAGGAGCTTGTCAGATAGGCCACGGGGACTCCAGCGATGAAGCCGACCATCTTTCATAAGAGGTGTTCTGGTAGCCTGCATTAGGATTGGATTGGGTTGACTTCTCAGAGCCGAACTGCTGCTTGCAAGTTTAGTAGTACAGTAGTATGGCCCAGACTCCCATCTGGCACTGGGCTGGTCTTTACCCAGGGGATCCCATAGATGGGTATGTGGAGGGGAGAAGAGCCAGCATGCATCCTTGAGTTGTTAGTTCACCAAAGGATGTGACCCTGTGTTCCAGGAGCGCTCGGTAATTCCTGGTTTGCACTGATGGCCTTTCTCTGTGGTAAGGTCAGGGCCCTGATTATCTTGTCGGAAGCATCCAGTTGGGCCTCCCTTGGGCTCCATCACTGTGCAAGTCTCTGCTCATAAAAACTCTTTAGTTCCCTTCTGGGTTCACAGCCAAGGCAAAAGAGAGTCCTTGGCCTCTTGGCAAACATACATCCCCTACCTGGCTGGTTCCCCTTCAGCTTCCCTCTTTAAGGAATAACTTGAACATAGAAACTCCAACCTCACCTGTAATCCCAGCACTTTGGGAGGCAGAGGAGGTCATTTGAGGTCATTTGAGGCCAGGAGTTCAAGACCAGCATGGCCAACATGGCGAAACCCCGACTCTACTAAAAACGCAAAAATTAGGCATGGTGGCGCATGCCTGTAATCCCAGCTACTTGGGAGGCTGAGGCACGAGAATCACTTGAACCAGGGAGGCAGAGGCTGCGGTGAGCCAAGGTCACGCCACTGCACTCCAGCTTGGGCAACAGAGTGAGACCCTGTCTCAAAAAAAGAAAATTCCAACTTCTGAAAGTAAACAACTTATACTGTACATGATTCCTGGAGAGGATTTGGTCCCAACCTTCACTCCCTCCTTCCAGGGAAAGCACACAGAGGGGCAGGCCAAGGGATACTTCACCACTTTCTGAGTAGGTCTTTTCAAGTCCTTGGAGCCTTCAGTTTGTGATTTGTTATTGCCAGAGAGCAACGTTGGGATTGTGAGCTGTGGGTCCTCGGTCTGACTTTAAAGAAACCCCACAAATTTTCCGCTCCTGATTTTCCTGACCATGTTTCCCACCAATCCTGCTAACATAACCTCTGCTTCCCTCTCAGTCTCCACACACTGGTGTTAATGCATGTGAACCTGCTGTGTATCTCTTTCCTGTACTTTTTTGAGAATTATCTAGAATGGGTCAAATCCCACCTTTCCCATGAAGCCTTTCTGACGACTGCCGATGCTCTTTCCCCTCGCTGGGCTGTGTGCTGCATGTGTGTACAGGGGGACATCACGTTTAGGTGCAGCCTGTCGTGTGGGTGCTCCTTTTGACTCCCGTGTCTTGAGAGGGCTGTGTGGTGTTAGCAGAGGAGAGGCAGATGCTAAAGAGATAGGCCTGACCATCCACTGACCTAGCTTTCCTTTCTCTGAGCTTGTTTCCTCACCTCTTAAAGGGAAATAAAAATCGTAAGAGTTGTGTGCAGCTTAACCAAGAGGATGCCTGTGGAGTGTTCAGGGTGATGGTAGTGGTCATTACTATTAATCTTTTTCTCCCCAGCCAGACTTGATGCCTGGACTTGGCCACAGTTTGCTTGGTAAACCCATTTACTGACAGATTAATTGATCCCTCTTTTCTCACCAGGTACATGGCCACCTCTGGCCTAGACCACCAGCTGAAGATCTTTGACTTGAGAGGGACCTACCAGCCTCTGAGCACTCGGACCCTGCCCCATGGAGCAGGGCACCTGGCCTTCTCCCAGAGGGGACTGCTGGTGGCGGGAATGGGTGATGTTGTCAACATCTGGGCAGGGCAGGGCAAGGGCAGCCCACCCTCCCTTGAACAGCCCTACCTCACCCACCGGCTCTCAGGCCCTGTGCATGGCCTTCAGTTCTGCCCCTTTGAAGATGTGCTAGGGGTGGGGCACAGTGGGGGCGTCACCAGCATGCTGGTCCCTGGTGAGTGGGCCAGGGATGGGGCTTGAAGTGAATGAACTCTGGGTGGAAGTTTGGGCCTGAGACATCCAGGAGCTGGGGGATTGGTTGGGCTGGAGCTGTTGGACTTAGGTCTTTCCTTACGGCTCCATGCTCCTCCCTCCCTCCCTTCAGGGGCCGGTGAGCCCAACTTTGATGGCCTGGAGAGTAATCCTTACAGAAGCCGGAAGCAACGCCAGGAGTGGGAGGTGAAGGCCCTGCTAGAGAAGGTGAGGCTCCCCTGCTGGAGAGGGTGAGGTTCCCCTCTCCTGGAGACGGTCAGGTTCCCCCTGCTGGAGAGGGTGAGGTTCCCCCTGCTGGAGAGGTCAGGGTTCCCCCTGGCGGAGAGGGTGAGATTGCCCCTGTTGGAGAAGGTGAGGTTCCCCTGCTGGCTGGTGTGCAGCATGCTTGTGAGGCCCCTGCTGCTGGGGAAGGTACGCATGTGGTTTTGGGTTGGAGGTAGAGAAAGCTATCCTGAGGTCTCATGCTGGGGGTCCTGGGTAGAGGGGTTCAGCAGCCTTCCTGGCTTCCCTTTTTGGTGCTACCCTCCTGTGGCTCCTTGCTGAGTCCTATCCCTCTGTGAAACCCTCAGGTACCTGCAGAGCTTATTTGTCTTGACCCGCGAGCCCTGGCCGAGGTGGATGTCATCTCTCTGGAGCAGGGAAAGAAGGAGCGGATAGAGAGGCTGGTATGGAGCAGGCCCCTGAATGCCCAGGCCTGTCTTCTCCCCCACATCCTCTCCCCACCATGGCTTGTCCCCAGAAGTGTGGCCAGCAGGTGGGTGCTGCCAGTTCCCTGACTCCGACCGAGGCTGTAACAGATTTGACTCCTGTCCCCTCCCTCAGGGCTACGACCCGGAGGCTAAGGCTCCCTTCCAGCCAAAGCCAAAGCAGAAGGGCCGCAGCTCCACAGCAAGCCTGGTGAAGAGGAAGAGGAAGGTCATGGATGAGGAACACAGGGTAGATGAGTATTGGGATGGGCCGGGCCTTCCACAGGCTGCACCCTCCTGCTTGTGCCTCTGCCCTTGTCAGCCTGCCACTTCTCACTGTCCCTGTGTCCTCCCCCTCTCCGGTCCCCAGGACAAGGTCCGGCAGAGCCTGCAGCTGCAGCAGCAGCAGCAGCAGAAGGAAGCGAAGGCCAAGTCCACAGGGGCCCGGCCATCTGCCCTGGACAGATTTGTGCGCTGAGCCAGACTCCAGGGTTGCCTGGGAACAGTCTCTCCCCGAGATCACCTGTAGGGAAAAGAGTGTTCCCTGGAACAAGGAGGTGGGGCACTGTGGTCCTTTCCCCAACTGGGGGTGGACAGCTGGCTCCTGGGGTGGGTTGGTATTAAAGAGGAAAGCGATTTTTTGGATCATGTGTCTGGATCATCTTGTGGACCTGTTCCCCTCCCCCTTGCCCAGCATGAGGCCATTCTAGGATCAGAGGAGTCAGTGTCCTGCCTCTACCCCCACCCCCATACCTTGTGGCTGCTGTGGCCTTAGCTTTGCCTTTTAGGGGCCTTCCTCCTCAGAGAGGCTGTCCTCTCTCCCATGTCCCTGGAGATGTCCTTCCCATGAAGCAGGGTCTGGCAGCCTCTGGGGTCTCCAGGTTTGTGGTGTTCTGGGGGTCCTGGTGAAGACCACACTGCACTCGAAGAAGTGGAGACAAGTTTATTGAGGAGCTTGACAGCCCTCTTCTGCCCTAGCTTGAGAGAACAGCTGCAGCATTTTTTTCTTTTTCTCTTCCTGATGACCATCTTTCAGGCTGGCGGGCCAGGCCCCTGGGTGTCTCCCATATCCTTGTCTTTAGTGAGACTGAGGATCTGGTATGAGGAAACAGATCAGCTTCAGCCAGTGAGGGCCCCTGCGTTGGGCCTGGGAGAGAGAAGGTCCTGTTCCTGCCTTTCCTGTGGCCCCAGGCACTCTCAGCTGTGAAGCCAGGCTATTGCTCGACACCGCAGGATGCCCAGGACTCCCTGGAACCAGGAGCAAAAGGGCGCAGTCCTTTCCCCGTCAGAGCCACCCACCAGCTTCCAGGCTTCCTGCATCTTCCAGGGGTCCAGCCTGTGGGACGTCAGCAGGAATTTCCCATAGCAGCACCGGTCTAGTGGGTAGTGGGTGGCACCAGCCAGCTTGACACACTGTGTTGGGGCAAGGCCTCCTCTTCGGGCACTTACCCCCACAAAGACATCCTCTAACGGGAGAGGGGGTGCCCGGCTAGCCACCTTGAGAATAAGCTGCACAGCAGACGCTGACAACACATACCCTGTGCCTGAGGCATAGGGTGGGAAGGGGCCCCAGGTGTGAGGCCACTGCTCCTCTGATACACGGTGCCTGCCCCCTGGTGTCCGAGAGGGGTTTACTCGCCAGTGCACCCGGCCCAGGTACAGAAGAGGCACTTCCTCGCTGTGCAAGGCCTGGCCTCCTTCCTGCTGTTCATTTCCAACCTCAGCCTCTCTCTGGGGTTCCGTGCTTCTCTCCCATTGCTCCCAACGGCCCCCTCGCAAGACCAGCTCTGATACCAGTTCGGGGACGTTGACATACACATCATCGTCCGTCTTGAGGACGTATCGGGCCATGGGGCAGTGTTTCTCAGCCCAGTTCAGCCCACTGAGGGTCTTGAGGGTGAGGTTGCGGTAGGAGTCCTGGAAGGCGGCCTGCAAGATATCCCCCTGGGCTGCTGACTCCGAGGCCAGGTCGTTCCCCTGGGAGCCCCACACGGGGTGCTGTGCGTTCGGCTCTCCCAGCAGGAATAGCGTCTGTACTCTGAGTCCCCGGGCCTCGCGCAGCCCGCCCCACGAGGCCCGAATGGCGTTTCTCTGGTTCAGGTTTTCCGGAGCCGTGCACACCAGGATGAGCAGGAAGGGAGGAGCCCCGGGACCACCGCAAGCTTCCTGGTTGGGGATCAAGAGGCGGGGCAGGGCCAGGGGCGGCCCCGGTGAGGCGGGGGCTGGGAGCAGGGAGGCTAGTGAGAGGCTCAGCAGCTCCTCCCCCAACCCCGAAGGCCCGAAGAGGGTCCAGACGATCACCAGCAGCAAAGCGGTGAGGAGCAGGCGCCGGAAGAGCCTGAGCGGCATGGTGCGGCGCACTCCAAGGGTAATCCGGAGAGCGAAGGGCGGAGACTAGCTCCCTGGGCCTAGGTCACGGTGGGGATTTAACCGACCACACCTGGGATGCGGAGGGCGGAGCGCGCGACCGGGACCAGCGCACCCTGGGGGTCGGGGGAAGGCGGTGCGGACCGCGGTCGAGGCATGCTGCGGGGGTGGCTACCTTGTTGTCGCTGCCTCGCCGCCAGCAAGCTCCGCTCCATGGCTGGCCGACTGCGGCACTCACGGCCCCTCCCCCGCCTCGCCCCGGCGGCCGGCCTGCCACCCGCTTCCGCGCTGCGCGCTCCCATCCCCGCCGGAAGCGGCGTCGGAGCAGCGCGGCAGGGCGCGGAAACCCGGGCGGGTGGAGTGGCACCAAACGGAGCGAGACCGGTCTGTCCAGCCACTCCCCATCCCAACCCACCCACGTATTCCACCAGGGGGACCACACCCTACATAACCAACGTCTGTGTTTTTGCCTTTGTTGCTTTGGTCACAGCCCCAAAGATTTTCTCTTATAACTAGATGACCCCTTTTTTTAAAAACAAAACAAAAAAAAACCCAGTGACTAAGACCTGCAAACTCACCTGAACTGCAACTGTCTAGGCTCAGCTACCCACTCCACAACCATGCTGCACACCAACCCCAGGGGACTGGTCTCTAAACTGGTCTGGGTCACCCCCTCGAGGCTGGGAATTGTTTTCCCCTCACATTTCTCTTTACAGAGAGGGACATCACTAGCTACACATAGGGAGACTGAGGGGTCTGCAGCATCACCACTGCTAAAACCAATAGCACTGTGTGGGCAACTGAGTAGGGCAGCTCTAAATGGAAAAGGGACCCAGCACTTTAACATTCCCTATTAGAATGGACAGAAAGGACAGGAAGCCATAGATATATAAACTATTTATTAACAGACAAGGCCTACAGACTTATTTCTTCTTGGACACACCCACGGTGCGGCCACGGCGGCCAGTGGTCTTGGTGTGCTGGCCTCGGACACGAAGGCTGCAGGTAAAAAGAGAAGGGTCATAGGTCATACACAGCACAAAGAAAAGGAAGAGCGAGTAGGAGGAATGCTGTGAGTCGAGGTAGGCAGTGAGATGAGACCTCCACTCACCCCCAGAAGTGGCGCAGCCCTCTATGGGCCCGAATCTTCTTCAGTCGCTCCAGGTCTTCACGGAGCTTGTTGTCCAGACCATTGGCTAGGACCTGGATTCAGAGGCGGCGGCAAGGGATGTTTTATCCCCTGACCACCTACCTATGCCCAATTCTATCAGGACCCTCCACCCTTCCTCTAATCCTGCCCTCATTTCAGTACACACCTGGCTATATTTTCCATCCTTTACATCCTTCTGTCTGTTCAAGAACCAGTCTGGGATCTTGTACTGGCGTGGATTCTGCATAATGGTGATCACACGTTCCACCTGGCAGGCAGGACAAGGTCAGATCTACATGGCCCCCTTTCTGAGGCTGACCCCACCCCCAGCCCCCTTCCTTGTCCTCACCTCATCCTCAGTGAGTTCTCCCGCCCTCTTGGTGAGGTCAATGTCTGCTTTCCTCAACACCACATGAGCATATCTTCGGCCCACACCCTGAATGAAGTGAGGGTTTTCGGAATTAGGGTTCAATCTGATTTTTAAATTCCTTTATAGCCTCATTATTCAAAAAGCTCACAAAGGTAGGATCTGCAATAATCTATTTTGCAATCCCCTAGGTCACCCTTTCCTCACCCACCTTTCCAGATATAAACCATTTGATAGAAGGTTAACTTTGGGCCGCACGCAGTGGCTCACGCCTGTAATCCTAGCACTTTGGGAGGCCCAGGTGGGTGGATGACTTTGAGGGCAGGAGTTTGAAACCAGCCTGGCCAACATGGTGAAACCCTACTAAAAATACAAAAAAATTAGCCGAGCATGGTGGTGGGCGCCTGTAATCCCAGCTACTTGGGAGGCTTTGGCAGAATTGCTTGAACCTGGGAGGCGGAGGTCACAGCAAGCCGAGATCACACCACCACACTCAAACCTGGGCGAGAGAGACCCCGTCTCAAAAAAAAAAAAAAAAAAAAAGGTTACTTTGTTCAGGGGCACGACTGAATCATGAACACAGAATTTAGTGTTATAGACAACCCTTTGAAAGCAGGCAGTATCTTTTTTTTTCCTCCTCATTGCTCAGCATATGTATTTGTCACTAAGTGCCTTCTGATTCTTGCATTTAGGAGAACAAGGGGCCTGCCTCTCCAAGCTAATGCAGTAAACCAGAGTCTTATGAGTTACAGGATTTGATTAAGGTACTTGGGCTGTCAGTTCCTCAGAATCTCTAAGGCAAATCACTGTATCCCTATAATCAAAGTATTCCAAGATCACAAACTGAATTTTGTCAGTGCCCAGAACTGACCGCCCAAGTGATTATAAAAAAAAACCTAATGCTTACATTGGTAGCATCATATCAACACCAGCACTAGCACCCATGCTATCTAAACTCATGAACCAAAGTGATTTGGAGAGTGAAGGATGAACTGAATAGTAAGCCCTGCCCCTCATTTTGTCCAACTAGAACCTCAGAATGTGGCCTTATTTGGAAATAAGGTCTTCACAGAAATAATTAGGTAAAATGAAGTTATCTTTGATTAGGGTGGGCTCTAGATCCAATGACAAATCATGAGAGAGACATGAAAAGGACCATGAGATGACAGCAACAGATCGGAGTAATGCAGTTACAAGCCAAGGAACACTAAGGATTACTGACAACCACCAGAAGATAGGAAGAGGCAAGGTTCTTAAGTGCCTCCAGCACCGTAAGTAATTTTCTTAGTTTATATGAACTTGTTATAGTAGGCCCCAGGAAACTAAAACAAATGGCAGTTCCTCTCTGCGAGAGTGAGAGATCAAGGGTTGGCTTCACAGTGGCTCATGCCTGTAATTCCAGCACTCTGGGAGGCTGAGGGTGGAGGATCACTTGAGCCCAGGAGTTCCAGACCAGCTTGGACAACACAGCAAGATCCAGATTAGCCAGACGTGGTGGTGGTGCACACTTATAGCCCCAACTACTTGGGAAGTTGAGGCAGAAGGATTGACTTGAGCCCTGGAGGTCAAGGCTGCAGTGAATGGTGATTCCGCCACTCCAGCCTTTCAAAAAATAAATGTGGCTGGGCGCAGTGGCTCAAGCCTGTAATCCCAGCACTTTGGGAGGCTAAGGTGGGTGGATCACCTGAGGTCAGAAGTTTAAGACCAGCCTGACCAACATGGTGAAACCCCCCCCTTCTAAAAATACAAAAATTAGCTGGGCGTGTGCCTGTAATCTCAGCTACTTGGGAGGCTGAAGTTGCAGTGAGATGAGATTACGCCACTGCACTCCAGCCTGGGTGATGGGGCGAGACTCTGTTTCAGAATAAATAAATAAACGTGACCAAGGGTCAAATTATTAGGTTTATTCAGAAGAGAGCAGGGTCTTTCAAATATATATATATTTATTTATTTATTATATGACGAGGTTTCACCGTGTTGGCCAGGCTGGTCTTGAATTCCTGACCTCAGGGGATCCACCCACTTCAGCCTCTGAAAGTGAGCCACTGCACTCAGCCTCAAATTTAATTATATGTTTACAAATGAATATTTACTTCAAAATGAGAGTGGGAAGACAGATAGATAAAATGAGATTTCTAATTTTAGTTAGAATAACTTTCATCCATGAAGGTTATTCTCTATTACACTTCTGAATGGTGCACCTCTACTTAAGCCTCACAGCAAGTATCTAAGTACAGTATTTCACACTGCCTTATTAGTTTCACAGAGCACCCAACAGAAGGAATTTTCCTCTACACATTCCTTACACCAGCCAACAGTATCCCTACTACTATCCATTCGCTAACGTCGCCTAAGTATCTACCATGCAACAGAAGCCAAGAACTGTTAAGACAGGCCTAGCCCTGCACCCATGAAGTGGACACATACTGGTAGGCTATTTCCACAACTAACTACAAATTCTGACTTAAGAAAAAAAAAAAAAGAACGTGTGTATCTAGAAAGCCAGGAGTTTATTAGGTTTGTGGAGAGAAATACCCAAGTGAAATAATTATTCTTGCATTCACTGATTCGATTCTTAAAAGCCGAAGAGAGAGATGTACTCCTTCACACTTTAACAGGAGTGTCAACTCTGACATATGAGTAAATGTCCTGCTCATACTTCTTCCACCCTCCATCTACAAGTTTCTTCACGCTTTTTATCTGTTGGCATTTTTACTCATCCCTCAAGATGCCCAATAATCCTCCAATTCTGAGGGAATATAAATTTTACAGGAAGCGTTGCTGTTATGATGGCGGGGTGGGTAAAGAAACCGAATCTAGAAGGATCTCACGGTTCAGGAAAATCTTAGCGAATTCGGGTGAGCAACCATACCTCCTTCCCACTCCCCCGGGTGAAATGTTTTGGCTTGACCTTAGACCACTCTCTTGGCTTTAATCACTTATTTTCTGTGGTAAATGTGGTAAGTGCTAAAGGGGTTAGTCTCTCCCTAAACCACTTTCTTTTCTTAATCCAGCAGTCAAGGTGCTCTGGATGAGACTCAAGTCTCCCCAACCTTGCTTCATTTTTGCTCATGTCTTCACAACCCAATTCTCATTTACATTCCCTATTCCTTACCCTACTTTACTTACCTTAATGGCAGTGATGGCAAAGGCTATTTTCCGCCGCCCATCGATATTGGTGTTGAGTACTCGCAAAATATGCTGGAACTTTTCAGGGATCACTAGAGACTGGTTTAAAAAGTACGGGGGAGAAATTAGACACAGTAAACTATCAAACAGTAAGGTTGATAAGGCAAACGAACTTCATACAAAACGGTTAAGTCTGTCACACAAGTGGCAAAGGCACCCGATCCCCACCCCTAAGGTTTTCACACCACACAGCAAACTCCTCAGTCCTGCAGAGTAGGTACATGAAGCGTTCAAGCTTGGGAAAATGCAACCTTTGGAGAGAGGAGGCAGGTCTCCTGCCCATTCCCAAAAGTGCGTGGCGGAAGCCAGAGTTCCCCATATACGCCCAAGCCTTAGGCAGCTTCCGTGCGCCAGAGCAGTGACCCTTCCTCGGGCCCGCTCTCCGGAACTGGAAATCTTTGGTGTCCCTTTCCAGGGGCGCGATCCAAGGCTTCATACGGAAAGTCTCAGGCCCTCAGGACAGGGCGTTTCCAGAACCCCAACAGCCGGCTTTCCTTGCCCGAGTTGCGATGTCGCTGGATCACGGCACGGATTCCAGGCTTACCATGGCGGCAGCACAAGCGGCGGCGTGTAGGCCTCCTGTGGAAGAGAGAGCGGAAGTGACGCGATATCATTATATAGCGTTCAGGAGGAAGAGGCGGAGCGATCTAGGAGAAGTGCTTCCGGAAACTGTTTCAGCCTGACCTAGCTGGACTTAAGAGAGTATGGCTCGGGTACCACAACTTCCGGTGCGCCTTTCTTTACAGTTCGTAAAGTTCATAGGTTTAAGAGAAGCGAAGGTTCCGGGCTAGTTTGTGCTTCAGACTTCCACATTTCCGTTTAGAGTTGGGTGAAGTGGTTAGAACTGAAAGGGAACAGCTGGAGTCAAACAATTTAACTCAAATATCTGGGAACGATTTCGCGCTGAGGAAGACCCTTTGGGACTTGTAGCTCCACTCCGGGGAACAGACTCGCCGGCCTGACAGTTGCCGGAAGTGAGGCTGCGGGGAATGGCCGCCGCTGCGACCATGGCGGCTGCCGCCCGGGAACTGGTGTTGCGGGCAGGGACGTCAGACATGGAGGAGGAAGAGGGCCCGCTGGTGAGAGCGCGGAACTGTTTCTCCTCCGTAGTCCCGGTGCTCCTAGCTTCAGAAAGACCTGAGCTGGGTTTAGGCACAAGGGTGGGAACTTGGCTGCTACCTGTGATATTACCTGTTTGACTCCCCGTACCCTTCCCTGTGATCAGACCCGACCCTGAGCGGGACCCTCGTGGCTGAAACTCATATTCTGGGGCACAATTTCAACTTCGCTCCACATTTTGGGGTAGAGTCAAGAAGTAATATAGTGTAAAGGTTAAGAACATGGACTCTGGAGCCAGACTGCCTGGTTCTAATTCCATCTCTGCCACTTACACGCTGTGTTCCCTTGGGCAAGTTAACCCGCTTTTCTGTGCCATCATTTCTCAGACCTATAAGATGAGGAAGATAGAACCTACTGTATACATCGTTGTTAGGATTAGATGAATGAGTATGTTTAAGATTGCATCTCGCACGCAGGTAAACACTATGTATTTTGACATTTATAGAAAGCCTGGGGTTCCCCAGAGGTGTGATAGAACATCCAAGATGGCAGGAGCCTGAGGGTCCTAAATTTAAGTGCAAGTTCAGCTCCATCCTCTGCAATTCCTAGCTTTCCTCATTAGGTCATCTCCACTGTCTTGTCTTTTACTTTTTTTTTTTTTTTCTTGAGACGGTTCTCCCTGTGTTACCCAGGTTGACCTTGAACTCCTGATCTCCTCAGACAGTCTTCCAGTCTCAGCTTCTAAGTAGTTGGGACTACAAGGAGCCCGCCACCATGCTGGGCTACCTCCACTGTCTCATTGGATCGTCTCACTCCTTGTCGTATTCCTTACCTATCAACACAAAATAGGAGAGTGGGTACAATGTGAGACTTACAGTTTTTCAAAGCGGTACCTGTGGCTTCCAGCAAAAGCACCTCCTTCTCACTTGAAGGACTGGGGATATCCAATTACATTTTTTCTTTCTGTCTTTCACTGTATCCTACTCCCATTAACTTATTCCTTTTCAGGCGGGTGGTGCTGGGCTCCAGGAATCACTGCAACTTGGGGAGTTGGATATCACTTCTGATGAGTTCATCCTGGATGAAGTGGATGGTAAGTGATGGCGTGGAGTGGGTGCAGTACCTGTAATCTGAGAGGCATGGGAGCTGGAAGGAATAAGGTAGGGATTGGTGTGCAGATACTCAATGTGGGGAGAGGGAGCTGTGGAGCTGAACCCTTACGATAAACTTCTATTTCCAGTTCACATTCAGGCAAATCTGGAGGATGAGTTAGTAAAGGAAGCTCTTAAAACGGTGAGGATTTCCCCTATACTAATCTGCCCTTCTATCTACTGTCCCCCAAAAGGAAAAACAACAGTTTTTTGCTTTTGTTATATCAGCCTGGTATCTGATCCTTTAGTCCTTCACTGATTCTGTTACAGTGTCCCTTTACTGAGACTTTTTTCTGACCTGTCATCTTTATGTCCTCCCAGGGTGTAGATCTTCGTCACTATTCAAAACAAGTTGAACTGGAGCTACAGCAGATTGAACAGAAATCCATTCGGGATTGTATCCTCCAGCAGAGGGAAGGGGCGGTGCTATTGATATGGGGATTTTGTGGTGTGTGGTACAGATGTCTCAGCTGGGGTCAACATCTGTGAGGTTTCTGTCACTTCAGAGAGCAATTGGAGAGGTACTACAAATCTGAGGCTCTCCCATTTTCACCATGAGGCCCCTTGACTTTTTGTGGGTCAGATATTCAAGAGAGTGAGAATATAGCATCTCTGCACAACCAGATCACAGCCTGTGATGCTGTCCTGGAGGTTAGTAATCCTGAACTGTGACCCCTAATAGCTGCTCTGAACCAGATCATGGACTCTGGTGCCATTTTTAGGTCATCAGCCTTAAGATGGGGACAAGTTAGGGTCATTTTCAAGATGACTTCAGGAGCCTTTTTTGTTATTGCTGCCATATTTAATGTTATTTCCTGGTAATCTGGGGTATCTCATCCTCTGCCACCCTCATGGACTGATGAATACTGAGGACTTCACAGAGAGGCTTTGGTGGCCCACTTATCCCCTACAAACCCTATAGCACTCCAGCAACATCTTCTACCTTCCCTACAGCGAATGGAGCAGATGTTGGGAGCTTTTCAGAGTGACCTCAGCTCCATCAGCTCTGAGATCCGGACACTGCAGGAACAGTCAGGAGCCATGAACATTCGACTTCGAAATCGCCAGGCAGTTCGGGGGAAACTTGGGGAGCTTGTTGATGGTCTGGTCGTGCCTTCTGCTCTGGTCACGTGAGTTACCGGTTTGAAGGGTCATGATGTCCGTGGCAGGTGAATGGGCTGGGGTGACCTACCTTATTTACCATATGGGTCTACTGGCTCCAGATTAAGTGCTTTTTAGAAATTAGTAGCCAGGTTAACCACCATTTTTTTAGGCATGCATTAGGCATCAAAGATTAAGATTAAGAATGATGTAAGATCGGCTGGGCGCAGTGGCTCAAGCCTGTAATCCCAGCACTTTGGGAGGCCGAGACGGGTGGATCACGAGGTCAGGAGATCGAGACCATCCTGGCTAACACGGTGAAACCCCGTCTCTACTAAAAATACAAAAAAAAAACTTAGCCGGGCGAGGTGGCAGGCGCCTGTAGTCCCAGCTACTCGGGAGGCTGAGGCAGGAGAATGGCGTGAACCCGGGAGGCGGAGCTTGCAGTGAGCTGAGATCCGGCCACTGCACTCCAGCCTGGGTGACAGAGCGAGACTCCGTCTCAAAAAAAAAAAAAAAAAAAAAAAAGAATGATGTAAGATCAGGTGTATAGTGGGAAGGTCCAGGAATAGAAAACTTTGTACATGTGTCCTGACTATATGGTACAGTGCAAGGTGGTAGAGATGATAGGAGCTGGAGGTAAGGAGTGTGGTCTGGGTCTGGTTTAGGGATGTCTGGGTTTCCCTTGTAACTTATCCCACCCCTTCCTGCTACCCAGGGCAATTCTGGAGGCTCCAGTGACAGAGCCCAGGTTCTTGGAGCAGCTACAGGAGCTGGATGCCAAGGCAGCTGCAGTCAGAGAGCAGGAAGCTAGAGGCACAGCAGCCTGCGCGGATGTCAGAGGCGTGCTCGATCGGCTCCGGGTCAAGGTGGGAAGTAGGGATGGATACCCTGGAGGCTACTAGAAGCAGCCCTCCCAAGATCTTCACTATGGATTTTCTTGGCAGAGCTCACTGTAGCCTGTCTCCAAGAACTTCACCCTGCCTTTTCTGGGCAGCCCCATTCTTGCCTCTCTGGGTTTCCTTGAAAATCTTGAGAAATACCAAAGAGATATGCACCACTTTTCAATCTATGTTTACCATTTGTTGCTTCCCCCAATTCCTCTCATACAGCAAAAAGGTTGCAGCTTCATGCTCTGTGCTTGGTTCCCCACATCTAGGCAGTGATGAAGATCCGAGAGTTTATCCTCCAGAAGATTTATTCCTTCAGGAAACCAATGACCAACTATCAGATCCCCCAGACGGCCCTGCTGAAGTACAGGTCACAACCCCAAGGAAGTGCATGGGATGGCCTTTGAGCTTTTGAGCAGCCTAATGGCATCTGGTTTCCTGGGAGACAGGTAGACTGACATGTTCCTGACCTCCTAGGTTCTTCTATCAGTTTCTGCTGGGCAATGAACGAGCAACAGCAAAGGAAATCAGGGATGAATACGTGGAGACGCTGAGCAAGATCTACCTGTCTTACTACCGCTCTTACCTGGGGCGGCTCATGAAGGTGCAGGTAAGGTCAGGAGGGAGAGGCATTCCTGGGCACGTGGACTGGGAGGAGGGGACATCCCTGGGCAAGGAATATTTTATTGTGTTGTCGGAAGAGACGGTTATCAGTTCTCTTTTCTGTTTTCTTAGTATGAGGAAGTTGCTGAGAAAGATGATCTAATGGGCGTGGAAGATACAGCGAAGAAAGATATCCTAGTCCTGGGGAACCCTCATGCCAGGTCTTGAGAGTGGGAGGACTTTCGGCTGCAGCCACCAAGGCACTGTTCCTTACCTTTTCCTATGGGACTGAAACCTTTTAGAATGTGATGAAAGCTATAGCCTCCCTCCTAAGAAAGATGCGTCATTTTGACACATAGTTTTGCATATGATTGCAGGAGGTGGGGAGACACCCTGAAGTCCGTTCACAGATGTCATCACGTGGGGCCCTAGTACTGGGAAAGAGGGCTGACTAGGCCATGTCTCGCTGTCTGGGGTCCCTGCAGATAGTGAGTCTTTGGGCCCAGTTATGGTCTCATTGTTTTCCCTGACTCTGACCCATCTTACGATTCTTCTCAAAGCCATCACTCCGCAGCAGGAACACCATTTTCACCCTAGGAACCCGTGGCTCTGTCATCTCCCCCACTGAACTTGAGGCCCCCATCCTGGTGCCTCACACAGCCCAGCGTGGAGAGCAGAGGGTATGAGGAGGAACAAGCTTCAGTCATGAAAGAGACTCTGAGCATGGAGGGAGGGAAGGCCAGACCTCAGGGCAGAGCTTCCCAACCTGCAGGCCCTGTCTCGATCCCCTTAGACTTGGGAGTGGCCTTCTCCAATCACTCCAGCCTGCTGTGATGTGAAAAGAGCTGGGAACCATTGACTTAAGGGCATGCAGAGGGGAGAGACTGGATGAGGGGAATGACGGTCAGAGGCAGGTGTTGAGGTGGATGCAGGAGTAGCAACAGCAGGTGGGTGTAGGCCCTTTTTGTACCCCTATGTTCCCCCACCTTTTCAGTGCCCATTCAGCTTGCTCTTTGACAGCCTGGACCTAGATGGATGCCAAGGGTCTGCCCAGCTCTTATTACCCAAGTTTACTGATTTTGCAGCCATATCCATGGGAAGTCAGTGTTGGGGTCCATCCCTTCTGTGTTTCTTCTTTACTTCTCCTCTCCCAGTATCCATTTGAGGCCCTCTTCCGCAGCCAGCACTACGCCCTCCTAGACAATTCCTGCCGCGAATACCTTTTCATCTGTGAATTTTTTGTTGTGTCTGGCCCGGCTGCACATGACCTGTTCCATGCTGTCATGGGCCGTACACTCAGCATGACCCTGGTAAGATTCCTATTTCCTGTACTATTCAACACCTTTGTCCCCAGTCTTCATCAGCAGCATAGTGGGGTCATGACTCTGGTAGAACTGAAATCAATCAGGATCCTCATTCTAAAATGTCTAAGCCTTGGCTGGGCATGGTAGCGCACGCCCATAATCCCAGCATTTTGGGAGTCTGAGGCAGTAGGATTGCCTGAGCTCAGGAGTTTGAGACCAGCCTGGCCTGTCTATGAAAAATAAAAAATTAGCCAGCTGTGTGTTGATGTATGCCTGTGGTCGTAGCTACTTGAGATGCTGAGGTGGAAGGATTGCTTGAGCCCAGGAGGTCAAGGCTGCAGTGAGCCATGCACTCCAGAGTGAGACCTATCTCTTAAAACAAAAAAAAGAAAAGCTGGGCACAGTGGCTCACACCTGTAATCCCAGCATTTTGGGAGGCTGAGGCGGGAGGATCTGTGAGTTCGAGACCAGCCTGACCAACATGGTGAAACCCCATCTCCACTAAAAATACAAAATTAGTCGGGCGTGCGCAGCCTGTAATCCTAGCTAATCAGGAGGCCGAGGCAGGAGAATTGCTTGAACCTAGGAGGAGGAGGTTGCAGTGAGCCAAGACTGTGCCACTGCACTCCAGCCTGGGTGACAGAGCAAGACTCCATCTCAAAAAAAAAAAAGTCTAAGCCTTGTTACTTAGACTTGTCACAGTGTTACTTCCCATGAAATCCTCAGAGTGTAGGGTCCCTGAGACTCCCCCTGCTGCTGCCCCACAATCAGAATCAGGCAATAGCACGTGAAAACTGAGGGTCCTCCAAACCCCTGACCCAAGCTCAGCCTGGAACTCTGCTGTGATAGGCTTGTGATCGTAGATCCTGCTGCAGCCAGGTGCAGTGGTTTACACCTGTAATCCCGGTACTTTGGGAGACCAAGGCAGGAAGATTGCTTGAGGCCAGGAGTTCAAGACCAGCCTGGGCAACATGGCAAGACCTTGTCTTGACAAAAAATTTAAAAATAAGCCAGGCATGGTGGTACACACCCATGGTCCCAGCTACTTGGCAGGCTGAGGTGGGAACATCACTTGAGCCCAGATGTTTGAGGCTGCAGTGAACTGTGATTGTACCATTGCAATCTAGCCTAGGTGACAAAGCAAGAACCTGTCTCTAAAGTCAAAAACGCCGGGCGCAGTGGCTCACACCTGTAATCCCAGCACTTTAGGAGGCTGAGGTGGGCGGATCACCTGAGGTCAGGAGTTCGAGACCAGCTTGGCCAACATGGTGAAACCCCATCTTTACTAAAAATACAAAAATTAGTCAGGCGTGGTGGCAGGCGCCTGTAATTCCAGCTACTCAGGAGTCTAAGGCAGGAGAATCGCTTGAACCTGGGAGGCAGGCGGAGGTTGCAGTGAGCTGCGATTGCGCCACTGCATTCCAGCTTAGGCGACAAGGGCGACAAGAGCGAAACTCCATCTCAAAAAAACAACAACAAAAAAAGCCAAAAACATAGATCCTGGTGGGTAAGGCAGTAGGACCACCCGGGTGGCAGTGGACAGGAAAGCAGGGGGCAGTTGCATTTTACATCTCTCCCTTCTGTCCTATCCAGTGCATCATCCCCAAAGAAACACATGCGTTTGTTCATAGTCACTGAGGAAAACAAACTGACATTCTCTTTTAATCCTCTGCTTGTTCCCCAATCACATAGAAACACCTGGAGTCCTATCTCGCTGACTGCTACGATGCCATTGCTGTTTTTCTTTGTATCCACATTGTTCTCCGGTTCCGTAACATTGCAGCAAAGAGGGATGTTCCTGCTCTGGACAGGTCACTGAATTCTGGTCCTTGATGCCCAACAGGCCACAAACTCTTGGTCTTGCATGACTCTGCCCTGACCTTAGACTTCTACTGACCTGGTATCATTAACCTTTATTCCCATTGATTTGCTCCAGAGGCAGTACTGCTGCTTTTTGACTCACCTTTCTCCAACCACTGCCCCCCCATCCCCACAACTAACTGTTGACCATTAAACTGAATGGTGCCCCACTCCCCCCCATCCCTCTCCAACATTCCTTGCCGGCTGACCTCATATTCTGATTAAGCCCACAGGTACTGGGAACAGGTGCTTGCCTTGCTATGGCCACGGTTTGAGCTGATCCTGGAGATGAATGTCCAGAGCGTCCGAAGCACTGACCCCCAGCGCCTAGGGGGGTTGGATACTCGGCCCCACTATGTGAGGGAGGGCAAGGGTAACAAAGGGTTCTTGAAAGGCAGGGCTCTAAGCATCATTGTGGGGGTTGGCCACGGTCACAGTTGTGTCATGGGCCACGCTATGAGCAGGCATTCTGGGAGGGTGATAAAACTCATGGTGAGTGGTGCACTGTGGGTAGGAGGGACTGGAGGTAGAGTCACATCACATGGTGGCGGGTTGACCAAGGGAGTTGGGAGGTGGTGGTGGTTGGGCCAGGAGGTGGGTGTGATTTTCCTTCCCACTCTGTCCTAGATCACACGCCGCTACGCAGAGTTCTCCTCCGCTCTTGTCAGCATCAACCAGACAATTCCCAATGAACGGACCATGCAGTTGCTGGGACAGCTGCAGGTAAGGGTCAGACAGGAGAGACTTACCAGCAGCAGGGCTGCTGCCAGTGGGTGGAGGCTGAGGAGGAGCCAGAGGAGGGCCTGATGGCCTTGCTTTCTGGTGTCACCTCTTCTTCTCTGCCTTTTCAGGTGGAGGTGGAGAATTTTGTCCTTCGAGTGGCAGCCGAGTTCTCCTCAAGGAAGGAGCAGCTTGTGTTTCTGATCAACAACTATGACATGATGCTGGGTGTGCTGATGGTAATAGGTGCTCCTTCTCCTTGTCTTCCTACCCAGAAAATTGGGTTTCCCCCACTGCTTTGTTAGCTCTGTGAGGGCAGAGACGATACCTGTCTTGTTCAGCGTTTTACTCTTGGAGTCTGGCACAGTGTCCAGCTTAGTACAATAAGTGTGGAATGAAGGGGACATCCTGAAGTGAAGGACTGCTTTCCCCAAACTTGACATTTCCCTTTGTCTTCCCTTAGGAGCGGGCTGCAGATGACAGCAAAGAGGTTGAGAGCTTCCAGCAGCTGCTCAATGCTCGGACACAGGTAGGGGTGTGGGGAAAAGGGAAGGGACAGCTTTGTGTGCTGTTTTCAGCTCCTGTGTGTTTGTGTGTATGTGTGTGTGTGTAGGGAGTGGCATAATGGACCTCAGGTACATGGAATTACTGTAACTCTTGATCCACAACATACTGTCATTATTGGTCTACTTTATTTTATTTTGTCTTTGGTTTTGCTTTTTTTTTTTTTTTTCCTTTTTTGAGGCAGAGTCTCGCTGTGTCACCCAGGCTGCAGTGCAGTGGCATGAACATGGCTTACTGCAGCCTCGACAGCCTGGGCTTAAGCGATCCTCCCACCTTAGCCCCTGGGTAGCTGGGACCACAGGCATGAGCCACCACGCCTAGCTAATTTTCAATTTTTTTTTTTTTTTTGTTTTTTTTTTGAGACGGAGTCTCGCTCTGTCGCCCAGGCTGGAGTGCAGTGGCGCAATCTCGGCTCACTGCAAGCTCCGCCTCCTGGGTTCACGCCATTCTCCTGCCTCAGCCTCCTGAGTAGCTGGGACTACAGGCGCCCGCCACCGCGCCCGGCTAATTTTTTGTATTTTTAGTAGAGACGGGGTTTCACCGTGGTCTCGATCTCCTGACCTTGTGATCCGCCCGCCTCGGCCTCCCAAAGTGCTGGGATTACAGGCGTGAGCCACCGCGCCCGGCCATTTTCTATTTTTAGAATGAATTTTATTTTTTTCTTTATCCATCCCCTCAAGCACTTATCCTTTGTGTTATAAACAATCCAGTTACACTCTAAGTTATTTTAAAATGTACAATTAAGTTATAATTGACTATAGTCACCCTGTTGTGCTGTCAAATAGTAGGTCTTATTAATTCTTCCTATTTTTGTTTGTACCCATTAATCATCCCCAGCCTTCCACTAGCCTTCCCAGCCTCTGGTAGCCATCCTACTCTCTTCGTACATGAGTACATGAGTTCAATTGTTTTGATTTTTAGATCCCACAAATAAGTGAGAACACATGACATTTGTCTTTCTGTGCCTGGCTTACTTCACTTAATATAATGATCTCCAGTTCTATGCATGTTGTTGCAAATGACTGAGTCTCATTATTTTTTATGGCTGAATAGTGCTCCATTGTGTACATGTCCCACGTTTTCTTTACCCATTCATCTGCTGATGGACACTTAGGTTGCTTCCAAATCTTAGCTATTGTGAACAATACTGCAACAAACATGGGAGTGCAGATACCTCTTCAATGTATTGATGTCCTTTCTTTTGGGTATATATCCAGCAGTGGGATTGCTGGATCCTATGGTAGCTCTACTTTTAGTTTTCTGAGCAACCTTCAAACTGTTCTCCAAAGTGTTTGTACTAATTTACATTCCCACCAACAGTGTATAAGGGTTCCCTTTTCTCCACATCCTTGCCAGCATTGTTATTGCCTGTCTTTCGGATAAAAGCCATTCTGAGTAGAGTGAGATGAGATCTCACTGTAGTTTTAATTTGCATTTCTTTGATGATAGTGATGGTGAGCCCCTTTTCATATATGCCTGTTTGCCATTTGTATTCTTTTGAAAAATGTCTATTCAAATCTTTTGCCCATTTTTTAATAGGATTATTAGACTTTGTCATGTAGTGTTGTTTGAGCCCCTTATATATGCTGGTTATGAATCCCTTGGCAGATGGGTAGTTTGCAAATATTCGTTGTCTCTTCACTTTGTTATTTCTTTCGCTGTGTGTGCAGAAGCTTTTTTTTTTTTTTTTGACACGGAGTTTAGCTCTTGTTGCCCAGGCTGGAGTGCGATGGTGCGATCTTGGCTCACCGCAACCTCCGCCTCCTAGGTTCAAGCAATTTTCCTGCCTCAGCGTCCCAAGTAGCTGGGATTACAGGTATGTGCCACCATGCCTGGCTAATTTTGTATTTTTAGTAGGGATGGGGTTTCACCATGTTGGTCAGGCTGGTCTCAAACTCCTGACCTCAGGTGATCCGCCCACCTCCATCTCCCGAAGTGCTGGGATTACAGTGTGAGCCACCGTGCCCAGCTGTGCAGAAGCTTTTTAATTTGATGTGATCCCATTTGGCCATTTTTGCTTTGGTTGCCTGTGCTTGTGGGGTATGGCTCAAGAAATTTTTGCCCAGACCAATGTCTTGGAGATTTTCCCCAGTGTTTTCTTGTAGTAGTTTCATAGTTTGGTCTTAGATTTAAGTTTTTAATCCATTTGAATTGGTTTTCATATGTGGCGAGAGATAGGGGTATAGTTTCATTCTTCTGTGTAATGGATAGCCAGTTTTCCCAGCACCATTTATTGAAGAGACTATCTCTTTCTTTTTTTTTCCTCAGACGGAGTCTTGCTCTGTCACCTAGGCTGGAGTGCAGTGGTGCAGTATTGGCTTACTGCAACCTCCGCCTCCTTGGTTCAAGTGATTCTCCTGCCTCAGCCTCCTGAATAGTTGGGATTACAGGTGCCTGCCACCACGCCGGGCTAGTTTTTGTATTTTTAGTAGAGGTGGGGTTTCACCATGTTGGCCAGGCTTGTCTTGAACTCCTGACTTCAAGTGATCCTCCCGCCTCGGCCTCCCAAGTGCTGAGATTACAGGCATGAGCCACCGTGCCTGACCAAGAGACTATCTTTTCCCCAGTGTATGTTCTTGGCACTTTTATCAAAAATGAATTCACTGTAGGTGTGTGCGGGCTAATTTTTTAATTTTGTAAAGACAGTGTCTTGCCATGTTGCCTGGACTGTTCTTGAATTACTGCCCTCAAGTGAAAAATCTAATGATTCTTTTGGTTTTTTTGTTTGTTTGTTTGTTTAGAGACGGAGTCTCACTCTGTCTCCCACACTGGAGTGCAGCGATACGATCTCGGCTCACTGCAACCTCTGCCTCCCAGGTTAAGTGATTCTCCTGCCTCAGCCTCTTAGTAGCTGGGACTACAGGTGCGTGCCACCATGCCCAGCTAATTTTTGTATTTTTAGTAGAGATGGGGTTTCACCATGTTGGCCAGGCTGGTCGTGAACTCCTCACCTCAGGTGATTCACCCGCCTTAGCCTCCCAAAGTGCTGGGATTACAGGCGTGAGCCCCTGCACCCAGCCCGGATTCTGTTTTTAATGACACTGAAAAACAGAATGAATTTTTGTTTTGGCATATATATAGCTCTACTTTTAAAAGCAAGAACACACACACAAAAGGGGGAAAAAAGCAGGAGTACAATAAATGCAACGTTTAGATCAACGAGTACCTACCTGTGCATGAGAGGCACAGGGATAGTTTCAGGAGGATTTCATAGTTTGATGGTGGCTTTTGCCAAGCTGCTACTTCTTGGATTGTGTGGTGTGTTTGTGGGTGTTTATATCATTAAAAAACAAAACAGCCACTGCACTGGGTTGTTTTATTTTTTAATGATATAAACACTGATGAGACAAGGCAAGAAAACAGCAAGGCAAAAAAAACAAAAAAAAACAAAAAAAAACAGGCATGGTGGTGTGCACCTGTAATTCTAGCTATATAGGAGACAAAGGCGAGAGGACCACCTGAAATCCAGGAGTTCGAGGTTACAGCAAGCTGTGATCATGCCATTGTAGTCTACCCTTGGCAACAGAGCAAGACCCTGTCTCAAACAGCAAAACAAAAATCCCCAGAATCACAGGATTTTTTTCATGCATAATTTTTCTAATATTGTCATGTTATTGCATATGGCTATAGCTCATTCTTTTTCACTGCCATATATGACTTGTGTGATTAAACATATTCTATAAATGGATTGTTTCCAGTTTCTTGCTTCTGTGAGCATTGTTTTATGAATAATCATGTCTTTTAGCACACATAGATACTGATTATCTTCATCAGAAGTTTCTCTTGGGTATAAACCTAGGACAGTATTTTTGCTGTTTATAAGATAGGCAGTATTAGTCTTTATAAGACAATGATAAATTGTTTTCCTAAGTAGTTCCTTCTTACCAGCAATATGTAAGAATTCCTTCTGAGCCACATTTTCTCCAACATGTGGTATTATCAGATCTTTGCCATCTTTTTCTTTTTTTTTTTTTAAGAGACCAGAGATGCTGCTAAAGATGCTTGGGATCAGAAATGTTTCAGATTTTGAGTTTTTTTGGATTTTGGATTACTTTTATTATTTTTACTGGTTAGCATCTGTAGTCTGAAAATCTGAAATCTGAGATGCTCCAAAGAGCATTACCTTTGAGCGTCATGTTGATACTCAAAAACTTTCAAATTTTAGAGCATTTTGGATTTTAGATTATTGGATTAGGGATACTCAACCTGTATTTCAGTGGGTCTTTATTTGTAATTTCCTGATTACTAATAACATTGAGTATCATTTCAAATGTTTAGTAACTATATGTAGGGGTTCAGTCAGGCTGGTGGGAAAAATACTAGTTATGATAGCCACAAACCCTCTTCGAAGGCCTGAGAGTTTGCATAACTTCAGTAATAGATATGGTTGAAGGCGACCTGATCTTTACCTTTAGTTAAATAAATTAGAGTAATAACAAAGGAATGTGGGGAAGTTAGCTAGCTAGCTTGTTTACTCATGTGGTCTTAAGACTAACCTTTCATGTACCGCAGGTGCCTAACTGCTTTCTACTCAGGAAGTCCACAGTGTCAGTTACCCTGTAGTGGTGTTGACTCAAGTCTTTGTCAATTAATCTTTACTGAATAAATGAGAGTCTCACTAGCTGGTCAGGGCCGCCATCGCAACTGTTTACAGTACTCTACAGGGAGTTTGTAAGCAGCCTGGACACACTCAGCTGGACTGGCAAAGCAGAGTATCTGTGTCAGTGTACTTCATTCATCCTTCGCCGGGTCAGGGGTCTGCAAGGGACAGACTCCCCGCAGCTGGTGCTCTGTGTCAGCATCACCACAACTATACCATTTTTTTTTTTTCTGTAGAATGGCTGTCATAGCATTTGACCTTTTAAAAATCGGGTTGTGGCTGGGCATGGTGGCTCACACCTGTAATCCCAGCACTTTGGGAGGCTGAGGCGGATGGATCAGTTGAGGCCAGTAATTCAAGACCAG